TCTCTCTCTCTCTCTCTCTTTCTCTCTCTCTCTCTCATTCTCTCTCCCCAGATTTGAAGAAGAAGAAAATACACGACGTTTCTATTCCTTTCCCCAGGTTGCTCCAGTGCAAAAGCTCAAGAATCGTCCCTCAGCCTTTGTTCTTGGAATACGACGAAAAACGAAACATGCTGACAAACAGAGCGGAAGTCAAATTTATGTCGTGTCGCAGAATCCAAAGCGGGCTACAAATGATACAAGGACACAGCATTATGGTTGCTGGAAAATTATAAGTTAACTGATGCCCGTGTTATTTTGATAGCTCGTCTTACATGTTCCTGTTTTAATTCTAAAAATGTTACAGGAAGTTTGTGATCGAGAGCGGTTCTTTGCTCTTGAACTACAGGAACTGACCAATTATAATACGCTAGAAGTAGACGTGCTTATCTGACTGCTTCAGCCTGATGTTAATAAGTTCTTCGCAATTGCCCTAAAATAGATCTTCTGTTAGAGGATGACATCATCAATCACACTGAAAGTTCTCAGGAGAAACTTCCATATTGTTTTGTGTTGCCTCTTGTGTCCGATGCCCCTTCCTGTTTCAACATTTCCGCCGGAAGTGCACGATAGCAAGTTTCAGTTCTTTCGCGAGGGTGACGTCAACATAGGTGCGGTTGTCTCCTTTCACCGGGTTCTTCGACAGCATGGGGCAAAGAGCGCAGGCTGTATGGAAAAGGAACATGGCCAAAAGGGGAAAGTAAACACCGAGAAAGGAGGAAACGTTGTTTTAAAGCATCGTCATCACAAAGAGAATACAGACACATCAATAGATCTGAACTTCTGTAAAGATGAGGAAGTCACGAAACAGAATGGAGAGGGTGGTGATCACATTAAAATGAAAGATAACAGGATAGCCACAGACCTAGACAATGCTGTTCCAAATACTCCCGGTGAAAACACGAGTGCCGCCACTAATTCAGTCGAGTCTGATTTGCATGCCAGAACGCAAAAGACCGAATCTCAGTCAGGGAGTACAAATCCGAAATCTTCATCCTACAAGTATCCCAGTAGCCAATCAAGGAGAAAGCGAAGAAGCATTGACAGAAGAGTCTGCAGTGACACTATACAAGGTTATCAGTCGCTTGAAGATGTGGCGGCCATCTTGTTTGCTCTGGAACAGATCAACAACAGGACTGACATACTTCCCAACATAACTCTCGGTAAGTCTTTGTGTTATGGTTACGGTGACTTTTTTGCGACTATTACCGTGTCATTTCATAGATTGCCAGCGTCTGTGGTGCTGCCGTTAGGCGTTCTGCCTTTTGCACCTAGAAGACCCGAGTTCGATTCCCGTGCAGGGAGAACATCTATCCAACATAATGTCCTTTTGGGTGGGCAGTTATATCCATCTCAAACCGGGTTGGCTCTGAGAGGCAGAATTGAAACTCGCCTTCTAAAGTCTAAAGTGTGTCTATATTGTCGAATATCCCAGTCCTGGTTTTTGTTTTATTATTGTTGTTCGTGTTGTTTTGTTTTGTTTTTCCAAACTGGGATGCGGTTTTCGAAATTTGCCCAGGTTGAGCAGGCAGTCTGGCAGCAGCTCGCTACCTTTGGATTTAGAGCAATGCACTCTGCATGTATTGAAAATGTGTTGGCAAACTCAGTTTTAAGCTAAACGCCAAACATTAGAATGTGTCATCCCGAGTGGAGTTTGAGTTATTTATAACTTTGTTTACTTGATAATGCGGCTGGCTAATTGACGAATCACCAGTCTGATTACGAGGAGTTAAAAGCATAGTATAGCCAGTGCAGCGAGATGTGCGATGACTGGGCTATTCAATCTATGAACCGAGCGCTTGATTTATTAAATTTGATGATTATTGAAAATTATGTGCTTCATCATCATCCTCATCATCATCATCATCATCATCATCATCATTATCATCATCATCATCATCATCATCATCATCATCATCATTATCATCATCATCATCATCATCATCATCATTGTATAAAGAAGGTATTAAAACAGTTAAGACCTTGTTGTATTTCCAACAACAACAAAATATATTTCACAGTTCAACGTTTCGCCAATAAGGCTTCATCAGGAACATAGTATTTGAGA